CTGGGACCTCCCTTAACTTTACTATTAGTTATGAAAATAACACATTTAGACTAAGAGATTAACATTATAGTTAATATTTATTTTCATATTAATTGGTAATATCATAGGTTTTTCTATAAACACCACGTCATAAAAATTATATTATCTACGATGTGAAGCCAAACAAAAGGTGTCAAACATTTTACAAATGGCCGCATGGCATTTGTTCTCTTGTTTTTAAATATTTTGCACCGGGTTTGTAAGTTTCCCCCGGGGCGTGGAGGGAGCGTCACGTGATAACCGTTTGACGATGACGTTTAAAACGGTAACCCTATACGGTAACCCTAACTCCAACACCGCAACACTACCCTGCCACCTAAATATATGTATCTCGCCGCACTAGTATATAGGCATGTTATCACAATTGACCACGTTGCGGTTCACTTCCCTCACGCCCGAGGGGATAGCATTACCCCTTTTGCACTGACCCCGACTCTCGCGTTCTCGTGAGAATTGCTACAGTGTGAGAATTGTCTTTTGGGCAGAATAATCAAGACGTGGTCGTTTTTCCTCAAAATATTATTTATATGTGGGTTAGCATCTATAATATGCATAATTACTGTGATGTACATAATGTGACTATAAATTTGAATTTGGTGATCGATTCTCATCAATCGGCAATCCTGTGTATGAAGTTCTGTTATCGTAAGTTCTTCTACTTAAGTTAGTTTAGTTACAATAGGTTTTTGTCAACGGCGATATTAATTTTCCTTTAACATAACCAATAGTCATTAAAGATTATATCGTTTAACTTTACGATAGTGCTCTGAAACTTCGTGGGCCCCCGAACGACAATATATTGGTGTTTTTTTAAATCAGGCGATAGGATTGACGCAAATTGAGACTGCTGCTTGGACAATCGAAGTTCAAACATGTGTGTGTGTCGTGTGTGTGGTGTGTGTGTGTGTGTGTGTAGTGTGTGTTGTGATGTGTTGTGTGTGAAAGTGTGCCTTGACATGTGTGTGTGTGTTTGTGTGTGGGGGCAGGTTGTGGTGCGTCGCAGTGCAGTGCGTGCGTGCGTGCATGCGTGGAGTGACACGTGTGTGTGTGTTGATGTGTGTGTCGTGCTGTGGCGTCGCACGCTCGTGTGTGCGTGCGCGTGCGGTGATGTGTGTTCTGTCATGGCGCGCGCTGCGCGCGTGCACGTGGCCAGCGCCGTGTGGGGGGTGCTGTGCATGTGTGCGTTTGTGTGTGTTGTCGTTGTGTGGCGTGCGTGTGGCGTCGTGTGGTTGCTGTGCGTGTGTGGTGCTGTGTGTGTGTGGATGCTGTTGCGTGTGGGTGTGCGTGGCTGTGTGTGTGTGTAGTGTGTACGTCGCAAGGTGTGTGAAGTTAATGTATAGTTAGTCGTGGCGGCTTTCAGTTGCATACAGTGACACATGTGCATCCATGAATATGTTGCATTTATACAATTGTGTAGGAATTTCGCGCATTTTATACGCGGTTTTTCTTTAGTTTAAATTTCCTAGTTAAAGGAATATTGCAATGGCGCTAAATTGCGTTAACGCCTCAAATAAGTACTAGCGTTTCTAATGAGCCCTTAATTACAGAAAATAGGCAATAGTTAATACATCTTAAACGGTGTTATATTCATGGATTTTTCGTGGAGATGACGAGAAAATTAATATGCAAATTCCTGCTCTTAGAACCGGGTGCCGTTTGTCAGAAACAAATTAGGTTTACATTAACCTTAAATTAACTTTTTCTTCTTAGAGCGTTTGGACAGAAATTCGTAAGTTAGAAATTAGAAATTTTCGTAACCATTTTCTTTAAATTGAGATCCCTAGACCAGGGGTGGGCAAATTTTCAAACGAGGGCGCATCAGTGGGCATGAAAAGCTCAAAGGCGCGCACCTTTTAACAATCGGCGCGGGGGTGCGTGCTGCTCTAAGTTAATACGTGCGTTCGCCCAAGGGCACCAATCTCTGCCGCCATATTAGATGAAATGGCATGCGAGCCGAACCAGAGACAATAGAACATAAATCTGTGGTGACACTGAAAGGTCAGCTCGGTTCAAACACAAACATGTGACTTTCATCAAAAATTTATTGATTTAAAAAAAAATAGTTATTCTTTTTTATTTTATTTTTTATTTTTATTTTATTTGCTGCAGGCTTTCCGCGGGCCGCACAGAACCGTAGAGGGCCGCATGCGGCCGCGGGCCGGTCAGTTTGTTGACCACCCCTGTGGACCTAGACTCTCACTTACTTTGAATATTAATGTAAAATAACAACTTTAGACTAAGAATAAATTATTGTAATATTATATTTTATCTTAATGAGTCATTATCATGATGTTTTTCTTGAAAAACACGGTCAAAAACATTAATTATCTACGCGATCGTAAAGCAAACAAAAGTGTCAAAACATTTACCCAATGGCGCATGGCATTTGTTCTCTTGTTTTAAATACTTTTGACGGGGTGTTGCTATTCCCGGGGCGTGGAAGGTGAGGTCACGTGATGACGTGGAGATGGACGTTTAAACGTTAACCTATCGGTAACCTAATCACACCGCCAACACTAACCCTGCACTCAAATATATGTATCTCGCCGCCTATATATGGCGATTGTTATCACAACAATTTGCCACGTGCGGTCAACTCCTCCACGCCCGGGATGGGATAGCCATTACCCTTTTGGCACTGACCACACGACTCTCGCGTCTCGTGAGAATTGGCTACAGTGTGAGATTTGTCTTGTTGATGGCAGATAAATTAAGACCGTGTGTTTTTCCTCAAAATATTCTTTATATGTGGTTAGCATATAATATGACATAAATTACTGTGATGTACAATAAATGTGGTATAAATTTGAATGTTTTGTGAATCGATTCTCATCCCATCCGGCGGCCTCTGTGATGAAGGTTTCTGTTATCGTAAGTTTTTCACTTAGTAAGTTTAGTATACAATAGGTTTTGTCAACGCTATTAACTTTCTCTTACATTTAAATAGTTTAAAATTAATCGTAACTTTACAGAAGTGTTGACACTCGGGCAGGCCACCGAAGACCAATCATATTGGTGTTTTTTTAAATCAGCGAAAGTAGGATTGCCGCAATGAGGATGCTGCTTTGGCAATCGGAAGCTTCAAAAATGTGGTGTGTGTGTGTGTGTGTGTGTCTGAATGGTGCACTTGTCGTGTGTGTGATGTGGTGTGTGTGTGTATGTGTGTGGTGTGTGTGGTGTGGTTTAGTGCTGTGGGGGCGTTCGGTTGGTGCGTGCAGTGCGTGCGTGCAGTGCGTCATGCGTGCGTGCGTGTGTGCTTGGTGTGTGTGTATGTGCTGTGCGTGCGTCGATAGTGGCTGTGCGTGGCGGCGTGCGTGTGTGTGTGTATGCCCGCGCGCGGCGGCTGGCTGAGCTGTGTGTTGTGTGGTGTGCATTGCGATGTCGTCGTGTGTGTGGTGTGTGTGCGGTTGCGTGTGTGGCGGTGTGCGTGCTGTGCGTGTGTGTGTGTGTGTGTGTGTGTGTGTACGTGCCGTGTGTGGAATTAATGTATGACTTAGTCGTGGCGGCTTTCAGTTGCATACAGTGCACCATGTGATCATGAATATGTTGCATTTATACAATGTGTAGAATTCGCGCATTTTAACGCCGTTCTTTCTTCAGTTAAATTTCCTAGTTAAAGGAATATGCAAATGCGCTAAATGCGTAACGCTCAAATAAGTACTAGCGTTTCTAATGTATAGTCGTAATTAACAGAAAAATAGGCATCGAGTTACATACATCTAAACGGTTTTAATTCACGGATTTTATCCGGGAGAATGCGAGCAAAATTAATATGCAAATTCCTGCTCTAAACCCGAACGCTTAAATGCGTAATTGTGCTAGAACTGCGTTCTAGATTAAACACGGAGCACCACGGCTACAATTCAGTTATTCGTATCCCCCGCGCAACACCCTACTGTGATCGTGCAATCGGCCTCAAGAAATTCAGACATAATTCCCTGCTGGAAATGCGACGATCGATTTTCATACGGTCAGCTAGCAGCTATAAACGGTGTTGTTTTCATACAGATATGCTGCGAGATGAATGAACAGTATGCATGGAGCGCACAGACATTCCGCTGACGTAACAAGAATACAGATTCCAGCCAGCTTATTTTACATATTACCGTTTACTATTTACGTTTGATTTAGTGTTTGTGTTTACTTATCAAAGACATGCTCACGCATTTGATGAAAAGTTTCATAGAATATCAACCTATCTCCGATTTTGGGAGTTGTGACTGCTGGTACTGACTCATATTCGAATCTTAAGACGCTTTTTTGTCTATTTTAAAAATTTGATTAAATTGCGAACACCTCTTGGTGTGCGTGGTTAATTACGCGTTTGTGAAAAAATCACAAAGGGTGGTTGATTACTTTACGAGGCCACCTTTAAGGATCCATTAAGCTTTGCTCTTTCGGTACTTAAATGACGGATTTTCTGTACCGGAAAGCGTTTATCACAGACTAAAAATCTATTTAATCACTCACATATAGGGTTTCCACTAATGCCACTCTGCCAATAATTATATATTTACAGATGCACATTTTCGAATGGAAAGATGTTATATGTCATCAGAGATATTGTTATTGAGAATACATATTCACATTAACTGTGCGCAAATATGCACACAATGTTTAAATGTACTTAAACAACCTACCCAACTACTTAACTCAAACTCAATCAAAACTTGTTTAAATACAAAACTTATATAAACCTACTACATTCACGACAACACTCTAATACATAACAAGAATACATAGTTGGAACATAGCACAGCCGGAATATATATCGTTACACCATACAATTATAGTACACTTATTTAAACACCAAACTGGTAATGTAGTCATGTTGTTATTGTGTAATACCGTACATCTTTTGAGAGATTAACTAACATATCTGTATCATATATACCGTACCACACTATTAGCAGCTCCCGGTTGTTGCCTTGCTGAATCGGTGATGATTTCCTACGTTCCAGACATGGAGATGACTTGATCGTGACGCCGTTTGCACAGATCCTCGCAAGCTTACGCAGCGTACGAAACAACTACATCCTACTCACACAAATACCGGCTGCGAAGTAAGTATTGCCTTATACTACCTGTGTGTATGTGTGTATGTGTGTGCGTGCGTGCGTGTGCGTGTGCGTGTGCGTGTGCGTGTGCGTGTGCGTGT